GGCACATAATGGGCGGCACACGTAGGGCGGCACAAGGTGGTTGGCACATAATGGGCGGCACACGTAGGGCGGCACAAGGTGGTTGGCACATAATGGGCGGCACACGTAGGGCGGCACAAGGTGGTTGGCACATAATGGGCGGCACACGTAGGGCGGCACAAGGTGGTTGGCACATAATGGGCGGCACACGTAGGGCGGCACAAGGTGGTTGGCACATAATGGGCGGCACACGTAGGGCGGCACAAGGTGGTTGGCACATAATGGGCGGCACACGTAGGGCGGCACAAGGTGGTTGGCACATAATGGGCGGCACACGTAGGGCGGCACAAGGTGGTTGGCACATAATGGGCGGCACACGTAGGGCGGCACAAGGTGGTTGGCACATAATGGGCGGCACACGTAGGGCGGCACAAGGTGGTTGGCACATAATGGGCGGCACACGTAGGGCGGCACAAGGTGGTTGGCACATAATGGGCGGCACACGTAGGGCGGCACAAGGTGGTTGGCACATAATGGGCGGCACACGTAGGGCGGCACAAGGTGGTTGGCACATAATGGGCGGCACACGTAGGGCGGCACAAGGTGGTTGGCACATAATGGGCGGCACACGTAGGGCGGCACAAGGTGGTTGGCACATAATGGGCGGCACACGTAGGGCGGCACAAGGTGGTTGGCACATAATGGGCGGCACACGTAGGGCGGCACAAGGTGGTTGGCACATAATGGGCGGCACACGTAGGGCGGCACAAGGTGGTTGGCACATAATGGGCGGCACACGTAGGGCGGCACAAGGTGGTTGGCACATAATGGGCGGCACACGTAGGGCGGCACAAGGTGGTTGGCACATAATGGGCGGCACACGTAGGGCGGCACAAGGTGGTTGGCACATAATGGGCGGCACACGTAGGGCGGCACAAGGTGGTTGGCACATAATGGGCGGCACACGTAGGGCGGCACAAGGTGGTTGGCACATAATGGGCGGCACACGTAGGGCGGCACAAGGTGGTTGGCACATAATGGGCGGCACACGTAGGGCGGCACAAGGTGGTTGGCACATAATGGGCGGCACACGTAGGGTGGCACAAGGTGGTTGGCACATAATGGGCGGCACACGTAGGGCGGCACAAGGTGGTTGGCACATAATGGGCGGCACACGTAGGGCGGCACAAGGTGGTTGGCACATAATGGGCGGCACACGTAGGGCGGCACAAGGTGGTTGGCACATAATGGGCGGCACACGTAGGGCGGCACAAGGTGGTTGGCACATAATGGGCGGCACACGTAGGGCGGCACAAGGTGGTTGGCACATAATGGGCGGCACACGTAGGGCGGCACAAGGTGGTTGGCACATAATGGGCGGCACACGTAGGGCGGCACAAGGTGGTTGGCACATAATGGGCGGCACACGTAGGGCGGCACAAGGTGGTTGGCACATAATGGGCGGCACACGTAGGGCGGCACAAGGTGGTTGGCACATAATGGGCGGCACACGTAGGGCGGCACAAGGTGGTTGGCACATAATGGGCGGCACACGTAGGGCGGCACAAGGTGGTTGGCACATAATGGGCGGCACACGTAGGGCGGCACAAGGTGGTTGGCACATAATGGGCGGCACACGTAGGGCGGCACAAGGTGGTTGGCACATAATGGGCGGCACACGTAGGGCGGCACAAGGTGGTTGGCACATAATGGGCGGCACACGTAGGGCGGCACAAGGTGGTTGGCACATAATGGGCGGCACACGTAGGGCGGCACAAGGTGGTTGGCACATAATGGGCGGCACACGTAGGGCGGCACAAGGTGGTTGGCACATAATGGGCGGCACACGTAGGGCGGCACAAGGTGGTTGGCACATAATGGGCGGCACACGTAGGGCGGCACAAGGTGGTTGGCACATAATGGGCGGCACACGTAGGGCGGCACAAGGTGGTTGGCACATAATGGGCGGCACACGTAGGGCGGCACAAGGTGGTTGGCACATAATGGGCGGCACACGTAGGGCGGCACAAGGTGGTTGGCACATAATGGGCGGCACACGTAGGGCGGCACAAGGTGGTTGGCACATAATGGGCGGCACACGTAGGGCGGCACAAGGTGGTTGGCACATAATGGGCGGCACACGTAGGGCGGCACAAGGTGGTTGGCACATAATGGGCGGCACACGTAGGGCGGCACAAGGTGGTTGGCACATAATGGGCGGCACACGTAGGGCGGCACAAGGTGGTTGGCACATAATGGGCGGCACACGTAGGGCGGCACAAGGTGGTTGGCACATAATGGGCGGCACACGTAGGGCGGCACAAGGTGGTTGGCACATAATGGGCGGCACACGTAGGGCGGCACAAGGTGGTTGGCACATAATGGGCGGCACACGTAGGGCGGCACAAGGTGGTTGGCACATAATGGGCGGCACACGTAGGGCGGCACAAGGTGGTTGGCACATAATGGGCGGCACACGTAGGGCGGCACAAGGTGGTTGGCACATAATGGGCGGCACACGTAGGGCGGCACAAGGTGGTTGGCACATAATGGGCGGCACACGTAGGGCGGCACAAGGTGGTTGGCACATAATGGGCGGCACACGTAGGGCGGCACAAGGTGGTTGGCACATAATGGGCGGCACACGTAGGGTGGCACAAGGTGGTTGGCACATAATGGGCGGCACACGTAGGGCGGCACAAGGTGGTTGGCACATAATGGGCGGCACACGTAGGGCGGCACAAGGTGGTTGGCACATAATGGGCGGCACACGTAGGGCGGCACAAGGTGGTTGGCACATAATGGGCGGCACACGTAGGGCGGCACAAGGTGGTTGGCACATAATGGGCGGCACACGTAGGGCGGCACAAGGTGGTTGGCACATAATGGGCGGCACACGTAGGGCGGCACAAGGTGGTTGGCACATAATGGGCGGCACACGTAGGGCGGCACAAGGTGGTTGGCACATAATGGGCGGCACACGTAGGGCGGCACAAGGTGGTTGGCACATAATGGGCGGCACACGTAGGGCGGCACAAGGTGGTTGGCACATAATGGGCGGCACACGTAGGGCGGCACAAGGTGGTTGGCACATAATGGGCGGCACACGTAGGGCGGCACAAGGTGGTTGGCACATAATGGGCGGCACACGTAGGGCGGCACAAGGTGGTTGGCACATAATGGGCGGCACACGTAGGGCGGCACAAGGTGGTTGGCACATAATGGGCGGCACACGTAGGGCGGCACAAGGTGGTTGGCACATAATGGGCGGCACACGTAGGGCGGCACAAGGTGGTTGGCACATAATGGGCGGCACACGTAGGGCGGCACAAGGTGGTTGGCACATAATGGGCGGCACACGTAGGGCGGCACAAGGTGGTTGGCACATAATGGGCGGCACACGTAGGGCGGCACAAGGTGGTTGGCACATAATGGGCGGCACACGTAGGGCGGCACAAGGTGGTTGGCACATAATGGGCGGCACACGTAGGGCGGCACAAGGTGGTTGGCACATAATGGGCGGCACACGTAGGGCGGCACAAGGTGGTTGGCACATAATGGGCGGCACACGTAGGGCGGCACAAGGTGGTTGGGACATAATGGGCGGCACACGTAGGGCGGCACAAGGTGGTTGGCACATAATGGGCGGCACACGTAGGGCGGCACAAGGTGGTTGGCACATAATGGGCGGCACACGTAGGGCGGCACAAGGTGGTTGGCACATAATGGGCGGCACACGTAGGGCGGCACAAGGTGGTTGGCACATAATGGGCGGCACACGTAGGGCGGCACAAGGTGGTTGGCACATAATGGGCGGCACACGTAGGGCGGCACAAGGTGGTTGGCACATAATGGGCGGCACACGTAGGGCGGCACAAGGTGGTTGGCACATAATGGGCGGCACACGTAGGGCGGCACAAGGTGGTTGGCACATAATGGGCGGCACACGTAGGGCGGCACAAGGTGGTTGGCACATAATGGGCGGCACACGTAGGGCGGCACAAGGTGGTTGGCACATAATGGGCGGCACACGTAGGGCGGCACAAGGTGGTTGGCACATAATGGGCGGCACACGTAGGGCGGCACAAGGTGGTTGGCACATAATGGGCGGCACACGTAGGGCGGCACAAGGTGGTTGGCACATAATGGGCGGCACACGTAGGGCGGCACAAGGTGGTTGGCACATAATGGGCGGCACACGTAGGGCGGCACAAGGTGGTTGGCACATAATGGGCGGCACACGTAGGGCGGCACAAGGTGGTTGGCACATAATGGGCGGCACACGTAGGGCGGCACAAGGTGGTTGGCACATAATGGGCGGCACACGTAGGGCGGCACAAGGTGGTTGGCACATAATGGGCGGCACACGTAGGGCGGCACAAGGTGGTTGGCACATAATGGGCGGCACACGTAGGGCGGCACAAGGTGGTTGGCACATAATGGGCGGCACACGTAGGGCGGCACAAGGTGGTTGGCACATAATGGGCGGCACACGTAGGGCGGCACAAGGTGGTTGGCACATAATGGGCGGCACACGTAGGGCGGCACAAGGTGGTTGGCACATAATGGGCGGCACACGTAGGGCGGCACAAGGTGGTTGGCACATAATGGGCGGCACACGTAGGGCGGCACAAGGTGGTTGGCACATAATGGGCGGCACACGTAGGGCGGCACAAGGTGGTTGGCACATAATGGGCGGCACGCAGTGGGTTGTAGCATTCAGTTAGCAAGGACGAGGTTGACAGGCTTGGTAAGCTCTTTCTGACGGAGGCAGGCGGGAATGCCTCTTGGAAAGTGTTTGGAGTCGACTTAAAACACGTAGCATACAGTTAGCAAGGACGAAGTTGACGGGCTTGGAAATGTCGTTCTGGCGGAGGCAGGCGGGAATGCCATTTTGGAAAACAGAAAGGGTAGTATTTGAGTCGACTCGAGCCGGAAGGGTAGTATTTGAAGAGACGGAGGGAGTTTCGGCGAGAGGAGTAGGGGCAGGAACGCAGGTGGAAGGGTATGAAGAGAGAGACATGAGGAGTAGCTTCTGCGAGCAATCAGGAATAGACAGTGAGGAGGCAATTCATCAGACCGCCCAGATTCAGGCCCTTGATCTCACCACCTCGGCTCGCACTATCTACCTTCCCCCCCCCTCTCCCCTCCTCCCCCCCCCTCCCCCGCGCCCACACCTTCCCCCCCACGTTTCGCCGTCCCCCTTTTCCCCTTTCCCATTCCTCCCGCCATGCGCTCCCGCCTTCCCCTTTCCCCGCCCTCCCTCCGCATCCGTCCCTCCGCCTGCCTCTCCCCGTCCGGCGGGAGGCGCATGGCAGCAGCGCCGACCTCTGCCGTTTGAGGCGGCTTCAGAGTCCCACTTCCCCGCCGTTTCTCCGCTTCCCCTTTTGCCTGCCGCGCATCAAAACTCCCCCTTTTCCTCCCTTCCTCCGCCCGCCTCTCCCCGTCATGCAGGGGGTTCCTGGCAGCAGCGTTGACCCCTGCCCCGGTGCCAACCAGGTTAGCTGCCCCTTCCGCCCGCCCTATGCCCCTTCCGCCCGCCCTATGCCCCTTCCGCCCGCCCCACTCCCACCGCTCGCCCCACGCCCTTACCTCCAGCCCTACGCGTCTCGCCTTTTGCTGCCGCGCTCTCCACTCGCCTTTTGCTGCCGCACTCTCCACTCGCCTCCCCTCCCTACCTGTGCTTGCTTCCGCTGCTCCCTTGCCCAAAGCCCGCCTCAACTCACCTGCGCCTGCCTTGTTCCCGCCCCAATCACACCTCCCCTTTCCTCCCCTTCCCTTCCCCCCTTCGTGCTCTCTCCCCCTCTCCTGACTCCTTTTCTTTCCCACTTTCCTCTTCTCTCCCCTCATCTTTCCTCCACTCTCTCCTCTCCTCCCCTCGCCTCCCTCGCAGTGTCCCAGCAAGGCGGGATGCTTCAGCCGGGGCGACTACTGCGACGGGGTGAAGAACTGCGCAGACGGCAGCGACGAGTGGCCGTGGATATGCAGCTTCGACATGGACTGTGGCGCACTCAACGCCACGCACGTCCTCTGCCCGGACTCCCCCAGCGTCTGCATCCTTCCCGGGCAGTACTGCGACGGAAAAACTGACTGCCCGGACGCGCTTGACGAAAACCCCGGCTTCTGCGCGAATTTTACCTGCCCGAGAAACAGCCTCCGCTGCCCGGGGCTGAGCACGTGCAAGCCGGGAGGAGCGCTGTGTAACGCCGTCCCCGACTGCCCGGGAAAACTTGCTGGGAGTGTGGCTGTGGATGAAGATCCGGCCTTCTGCCGGGGATATACTTGCCCGAAGGGGTCCTCTAAGTGCAGTGATAACCTGCAGTGTGTGGATGATGTGTTGCGGTGCAATGGAGTGAAGGAATGCAAGGATGGGAGTGACGAGGTGGGGTGTGACAAGTGGAACTGCACCAAGGGGTTCCGCAAGTGCAAGGACCAGCTGCAGTGCGTGTCCAAGCTCAACTGGTGCAACAAAGTTGCCGACTGCAAAGGTGAGGAGGAGCGACACGCACACAATGAGCCTGCTCCAGTGTTTTTTATGATGGAAAATCCCCTCCTGCGAAGGTGAGGAGGAGCGACACGCACACACTTACCCTTTGTGTTCATTGCTATGAGTTTTTTGCTCTCCGGTGCTGTCTGGGGAACTGCTGCCTCACCTAGTGTGCGCTGACTCCCGTTCTTTCCGTTCTTTCTCCCGCCTTGCTCTCTCTTTCTTCCTCCGGCTGTGAACCAGATGGCTCTGATGAGGCAACCTGCGTTCCCCTCAGCACCCCAGACGGCACCGGCAGCGGCACTTTTGGCCCTGGCAGTGGCGGTAGTGGTGCCGGCAAACCAGGGACCGGCGGCACTGGCAGTGGCGGCAGTGGTGCCGGTAAGCCAGGAGGGGGCACTGGCACTGGCACTGGCAGTGGTGCTGGTAAGCCGGGGGGCACTGGCAGTGGCGGCAGTGGTAGTGGTGCTGGCAAACCAGGCGGGGGAAGTGGGAGTGGCAGTGGGAGTGGCAGCGGTGCTGGCAAGCCAGGGGGAGGAAGCGGCAGTGGGGGAAGCGGCAGTGGTGCCGGCAAACCAGGGGGCGGTGGGGGCAGTGGCAGTGGTGGCAGTGGCGCCGGCAAGCCAGGGGGTGGCAGTGGCGGGGGGGGCAGTGGTAGTGGTGCCGGCAAACCAGGGGGCGGCAGTAGCAGTGGGGGCAACAAAGGTGGTGGCACTGGCAGCTCGGGAGGCAAGACCAGCGGATCCGGCTCCTCGGGAGGTTCCTCTGGGGGTTCTGTGAAAAAACCCTCTCCACCCAAGTCAACCCCTCCTAAAACATCCCCTAAGCCACCTGCCAAATCCCCCCCAAAACCGCCCCCTAAGACCTCTCCCAAGCCCCCGACTAAGCCGGGCACCAAGCCCCCTGCTAAGAACCCTCCCCGCACGCAGGGTCCCTCGACTGGAGGGTCGTCGTCGGACTCTGGTACTCGTAAGAATGTTGCACCCAAGTATCCCGATGCAAAGAATGACGGCAAGAGGAGCATTACCATCACCATTCGACTATGAAGTCGCCATTCAACACTGATGGGAGAATCGTGTGTTATTAAAGTCTGTATTTGTAGGGATTCTTCATTGTATGATGATGTAATGTGCCTTGTACTTTTGTTGCTTCCTGTTCTGGTGTATGTAATTGTTGGAGTCAATTTTGTTATGTGTTGTAGCATTCGACTCTATGATTCAATATCATTTTACATGGATCGGTAATATACTTTAATGAGCCAATCAACACAAACGCGTACACACCAACCCACCACTCCGCTCCCGCCAACAACTGTCGCAACACAACACAAATCATCAGCAGCGGGTCAAGCCAAGGCTACTTGTTTATGCATTTGGGTAGAATCGAGGTTCTAGTTCAGTGTCATCTCTCGCAAACTGTTACGAGTGCAATTGAGTGAACGAACGAGAATTGCACTATCGAAGCAAGAGTACAATGAGCGAAGGCATGAGCGAAGAATATATAGCGAAACTACAGTGGTAACGGTTGTGGACTGTGGTTGTCGCGCGACGGGCCTGGGACTGAGGTTGGGAAAAAGTGTCGAAGCGGAGGCCCGGAGCGCGGGTTACCCGCCGAGCCGTGAGGTCGGGGTGCGATGTGCGAAGGTGGCGGGCAGATTGTCGATGCGAGGGTTGCGAGTCGTAACGGTGCTGACTGTGGTGCTACAGTGATGTACGCGTTGAGCAGGGATGCGAAGTAAGGAAAAGGAATTTTCCTTACACTACCCCCCACCTTAAGGAGGTCCTCCTTACGAGAGTGCGTGTACATCCCTGAAATTTCGGCTGCGCAGATACTCGGTGAGGACGGGGTGGTTTTCGATTCTGTCCAGGGGAACCCAATTGTCTTCGGTGGGTGTACGGTCCTTCCAGCGGAGTAAGAACTCGATCCTTCGGGCTCCTCGAGGGTCGCGAACTCTGTGACTCAGGATTTTTTCGGGGGTGATGATTGGTTCAGTTGGTGGTCTTGTCATGCTGGTTGGGCGATTGCGTGGCAGTTGGCTCGTGGACGGGACGTAAGGGCGAAGTAGGCTGACGTGGAATGAGGGGCTGACGTACCAGTCAGCAGGGAGGAGGAGGTGGGCGGTGACGGGTGTAAGCATGTGGCTTATGCGAAATGGCCCACAGTATCGGGGGCGGAGTTTCAGAGTGATGGGCAGTCGGAGGTTCTGAGTGTCAAGTAAAACTAAGTCGTCGGGCTGGTAAGTGACAGGTCTGCGGTGGCGGTCGGCGTTGCGTTTAGTGATGATGTTCGATTTTTTTATTGCGTCTACTGCCCGGGTCCGTGCTGCTTGTAATATTTCGGCGAACTGTTGTGCTCGTGGTACTGGGTTGTCGGGATTCGGGGTCATGGGTACTGTTGGGTCTTGTCCGTAGTTTAGGTAAAATGGTGACTGTTGGGTCGTGGCGGATGGCGAGTTGTTGTACGCGAATTCGATTAGTGGCAGTTGCTGTTCCCACGTGGTCGGGTCGTCACACGTGGCCCTGATGAGCTGTTCCATGGTCTGATTTGTCCGTTCTGTCTGTCCGTCGGTTTCTGGGTGGTATGATGAACTGAACTGCAGTCGCGTGCCGAACTGCTGCCACAGGTTCCGCCAGAAGTTGCTGGTGAATTTTGTGTCGCGGTCGCTGATGATCGCGGCGGGTATCCCGTGCAGTCGAACGACGGTGGAGATGAAGAGGCGTGCTGTTTCTTCGGCTGTGATCGATTTTTTGCAGGCTGCGAAATGTGCCATTTTCGTTAGTCGATTGACGACGACTAGGATCGCGTCGTTCCCACTCGCCCCGGCTGGTAACCCCGTAACGAAGTCCATCGTCACCTGCTGCCAAGCACGCTCTGGGGGTGGTATCGGCTGCAACTGTCCCGCCGGCCGCTGTCGTGATGATTTCATGAGCTGACAAGTGGGACACGATGCCACGTGTCGTTGTACGTCGGTCAACATTTCGGGCCAGTAATAATACCGCTGCAGCTGCTGCCGTGTTTTCTCTACCCCGAAATGTCCCGAGGTAACCCCGTCGTGTGCCTCCTGTAATAGTAATTCCCGTAGCAGTGTGTACCCTGGTACCCAGATGCGGTCGGTCCCGGCTTTTACGTAATAGACTCCCTTGGCTGTTGCGAACTGCTGCGAATTTCCTCCTGTGAAAAATGGGTCCGTTTGATATCCGTGGGTAAATAGTCCTGTCAGTAGCGGGCTGGTCTGGGCGAGTAGTATCGCGTGGATCTGGGCAGTGGGGCGGGTCAGTGCGTCGGCTATGTTCGAGGCTCCTTTTTTATAGGTGACTGTGTAGTGGAAGTTTGACTCGAGGAAATCGAGCCACCGAATCTGTCGTGGGTTGAGGTGGGGCTGTGCGCGGAGGTACTGTAGTGATCGGTGGTCTGTCCGTACTGTCACGTCTGCGCCGGTCAAGTAGCAGCGCCACACTTTGAACGCATGCACGATCGCGAGAATTTCGCGGTCGTGTATCGGGTAATTTCGCTCGGCCGGATGCAGTTTTCGTGACTCGTATGCGATGGGCTGTAGGCCGTTGCCGAAGTCCTGTAGCAGTACGGCTCCAATGGCGATGTCGCTTGCGTCTGTAACAACCTCGAAGGGGCGGTGTGGGTCGGCGATGCGCAGGACGGGCGGGGAACAGAGAACATTTTTCAGGGCAGAGAAGGCAGCATGCTCTTTCTCCCCCCACGTAAAAGCGACCCCCTTCCGCAGTAAGTCCGTCAGTGGGGCAGTTAACCGTGCCATATCGGGGACGAACCGACGTACATAATTAACGAACCCTAAAAAGCTCTGCAGCTCCGTGATGTTCGTCGGGGGATGCCACGCTTTTACCGTATCCAGCTTCTTTGGGTCGATTTCAACTCCAGCCTCCGAAATAACGTGCCCCAAAAATTCTAACCTATCCTGGAAGAACTCGCACTTGGAACCCTTGGTCAGTAATCTGTGCTCGTCGAAAACCTTAAACACTGCTTCCAGATCTGCTAAGTGCTGCTGCTTATCCCGACTGTACACTAGGATGTCGTCGAGGTAAACTATTACACATTTATCTAGGAGCGGCCTAAATGCCTCGTTCATGGTCATCTGAAAAGTCGCCAGTGCGTTGGTCAGCCCGAATGGCATGACAGTGTACTCGAACGACCCGTACCTAGTCCTGAAAGCTGTTTTGGCGCAGTCCGATGGTTCGACCCTAATCTGATGGTAACCTCCCCGTAAATCTATTTTCGAAAAAACCCCTGCTGTTCGCAGTTGGTCGATCAGTTCGTCGGCGCGGGGAATTGGGTACCACGACTTGACTGTTACCCTGTTCAGTGCTCTATAATCGATACACATGCGAAAACCCCCGTCTTTTTTCGGCGTGAATAGTATCGGTGCGGCGAACGGTGACGAGCTCGGTCTGATGAATTTTTTCTCTAACAGGTAATCTAACTGCTTCCTTAGTTCGTCGAGCTCGGGCTGTGTCAGTCTGAACTGGCGCTGTACGGTTGGCTGTGCCCCCGGTTCTAATTCGATTCGGTGGTCATGTGCTCGCTGAGGTGGCAGTCCTTCCGGTAAGTCGTCGGGGAAAATCCCGGGGTATCGTTTCAACAGTTCCTGTAATTCGGGCGGTACGGCTGCCAGGAGTTTCTTGAAATCACTCGGCTGCTCTGCTTCCTCTACTACTGCGATGTCTACTGCGTACACGTCAGCTCCAGCAGCGACAGCCCGTTTCATTGTGATGGCGTTGACGTGTACCGTTGAAGACTCGGGCGACTGCCAGCGAGGTAGCTCGACCCAGTTACCACTACTTCGCACGGTGCAGCTACCCGTCGTCCAGTCAATTCGCGGGTTATATCGTCGCAGCCAATCACGTCCCAGTAAAATATCGTGCCCATCCAGTGTCGTTGCGAGCATTTCCTGTGTAAACCCGAAATTTCCCCCGCAGCGGACTTTGACTCTCTCTACCTTTTCCCGTATGGCTAGTGGCGTGCCGTCGACTAAGCGTGCGTCTATCTCCGGTAAGCAACGGCTAAGTGTCAGCTGCAGTTTTCGTGCGGTTGCGGTATTAACTAAACTGTGGCTTGCTCCTCCGTCGATAAAAATCTTCACTGCTGCTCCCTCTATTTTCCCGTGGATCAGTACTGGGCAATCCGTCGCTGTACCCTCCTTATTCGTCCGAGTCCGATCGATAGCATGAATCGGTACTGTGACTCGGTGAGGGTCGGTGGGGTTGGGCGAGCAGGCAGTCTCGTCAGTAGTTGGCCCGGTTCCTACTGACTGCTGGCGTTTCCCTGCCTTGGAGACTCCCTCCCCTGCTCTGCTCCGCGGCGCCTTAGCTCCTCTGGGCATTCGCTCTTGCGATGGCCCGGCCTGTTGCAAGCAAAGCAGCGCCCCTTAAACGGCGCGGCAGCTGCATTCGTCGCAACAGCGTGTACAGTGGCATGCTCGATCGGTCCCCGAGGACGATGTCCATAGTAGGACCCCGGTCTCGGACGGCGTAAAATGTCGATTTTCTCGGCGAGCGCGAGAATCTCCTTGAAGTTCGAGAGCCCGCGTAGCATGATTTCGTGCGAGATGTCCGGCTTCAGCCCTCCGACGTAACGGTCCACCCGCTCCGCTTCGTGCATGTAGCCGACTTGCTCGCATAATGCGAGAAAACCACTCGTATAGTCTTGAACCGATCCGAGCTGCCGCCAAGTGCGCAATCTCTGACGCGCCGAAATAGAAGCCGCGATCGGCTCGAAGCGCGCCCGAAGCCCTGCGCACCACGCATCCCACGTGCTGTATTGGGCGGTCTCGCAGAATGAACTCCAGGTGACAGCTGGACCCGTGGGCCCTTCCTCTTGCGACGGTGGCTCGTAGGCGCGTGGCGACGTCACGATGACTCGCCACCAGTCCATGGCGGGGCCCCTTAGCAGCGAAACTGCATACCGAATCTTCGCTGCGTCCGACTCGACGTAGTTCGCGTCGAAGAAGACGTTCATCGTGAAGACCCACGATTGAACCGTCGGACCTCCACGCTGGCTCGGGTCGAAGCAGGGCGGGCGTTGCGGCTTGAGTGGCATTGGTGCCATGATGGCCTGTTCGCCACTTGTCGCCGCGAACTCCACGTGCCGACGGGCTTCGCGAGGCTCCCGCGGGCTTGGTGCGACCCTGTTTCCTCCCATGCCAGGCATCGGCTGGGCGGCGCCATCGCTGGCTGCGCCTGAGCGCTGTCCCACGCTGTTGTTTTGTGTTGGTGTGCCGGACGAGATGACGATCGGCTCGTCTGATTGTGCAGATGCATTTGTCGGTGCGTGTGGTGGCGCTGGAGTGTTCATCGTTGATTGCTGACGCGCGGAGTCACGTTCCGCCGTGAGCGTCGCAATTTCGAGCGCCGAATCTTCGAGTTGGCGCACCAGACGGTCGAGCTGCTCCTGCGTCAATGTGGCGAGCGTGAATTCGGCCATGGCGGGGGTGTCGGGCGAGCTCAGCGAGAGCCTCAGTCGTAGCCGTGCGTGCTTACGAGAGAGCACTACGAGCGGCGGTGCTTGTGTCGCTGAGAGACGTCCACCCCCCCCAAAAATTGAGATAGTGGGGAAGCGAAGGTGTGGGTGCGGTCCGAGAGGAGATCGTAGGCTCTGAATACCAAGTGTTACGAGTGCAATTGAGTGAACGAACGAGAATTGCACTATCGAAGCAAGAGTACAATGAGCGAAGGCATGAGCGAAGAATATATAGCGAAACTACAGTGGTAACGGTAATGGACTGTGGTTGTCGCGCGACGGGCCTGGGACTGAGGTTGGGAAAAAGTGTCGAAGCGGAGGCCCGGAGCGCGGGTTACCCGCCGAGCCGTGAGGTCGGGGTGCGATGTGCGAAGGTGGCGGGCAGATTGTCGATGCGAGGGTTGCGAGTGGTAACGGTGCTGACTGTGGTGCTACAGTGATGTACGCGTTGAGCAGGGATGCGAAGTAAGGAAAAGGAATTTTCCTTACACAGTTTTTCATGGCTACCATTTTCCACCGCATTGCTTGTTAGGTGGATGAATGAATGAGCAGCAGCGCGCGCCAACCAACGCCCGTCCATGTCCCGTAAAGCTATCTGCCACGACACGCCGTGTCAGCCGCCGTCAATCACGGCGGCTCCTGTCCTGCCCAACAGGCTTATCTTTTGTGGTAACACGCCGTTTCCTAGAATTATATAGAAAAGGCTACCCCGATTGTAAGCTACCGTAACCTACTGTAGTCTACCGACCCTAACGCACCGTAACGCGCGCGCAAGCATGAGGAAGGCCGCGTCTGGGTCGGACTCGTTCGTCGTCACGCGTCGCCAGGCGTTCGCATGCCTCGCCGTCCTCTTCGCCACGATGCTCTCCCTCTCCGCGATCTCGCACCGCCTCGGCCACACCTCCGGGTTCCGCGCCGCGCAACTTAGCCTGTCGATTAACTCGCACTTAGCAAACGCCGCGTCCGCCGCAGGCGGCGGGGGGGTATCGAGTTCTCAACGCGGCGAGATTGCGCCGAATGTGATTACAACGGGGAAGGGGAATCCGTGCGGGGAAATCGCGAGCCGGCATGGGGCCTGCGTGGCGCCTTGTCAGCGGCGCACCAAGGCCGGGCATTGCGTGTCGGAGATGCTTCGGCTTTACGACGAGGCGTACGCGTGAGTGACGGGTATTGGATACGAATTGCGGGTGTTAAGTTCAAAATTGCCCCTTTGCGTGGCGGAGATGCTTCGACTGCACGACGAGGCGTACGAGAGACCGGCATTGGGGCGGCATTGGTGTGTACGCGTGAGTGACGGGCATTGAAGCTCTTTCTTCTTCCCCCGTTTTCCTCTTCGTCCCTCCATCTCGCCTTCCCTCTCCTTCCTCTCCTCAAAACAGAATGCACAGCCACGTGTCAGACGCTCATCTCTCTCTCCCAAACCCGCGTCTCTCCCCACTCTCCCGACCAGCCCCCTTGCTGCCGGCAGGAGTGGGCATATGGTGCGCAGCCACGTGTCAGGGTACTATCTTCTCCCCGTATCCCCCATTTCCCCCCATCTCCTCCTTATGGATCCTCTTTTCCGCCTTTCCCCCTTCTTTTTCCCTAACCAGCCCACTGTGCCCGGCACTTGTGGACCTGCTAGTGCGCAGCCACGTGTCAGACGCTTACTTTCTGACAGAGGTGCTGTTCGGATCCTCGTCATCTACCCCATCCCCCATCCCCCCCCACACATCTCCCCCGCATGGAACCCCGCTTCCCCCAACCAGCCCCCTGTGGCCGGCACGTGTGGACCTGCTGGTGCGCAGCCACGTGTCAGACACGCTTCCCCTCCCATCCCTTCTTCTCCTCACCCTCCATGCCATGCCATCCTTACGTACTTTCCCCAAAACAGCCCCCTGTGGCCAGCGCGGGTGGACCTGCTGGTGCGCAGCCACGTGTCAGATGCTTACTTTCTGATAGAGGTGCTGTTCAGGAGCATCGAGCAGATGTGGCCACGTGGCATTGGTGACGTCATCCTGGTGCTGGACGAAGGCGAGAGCGTTGTCCGGGACCTCGTGCCACCCTGGGTCAAGGTGAGTCAACGCCCTGGGTCAAGGTGAGTCAACGCTCTGGGTCAAGGTGAGTCAACGCCCTGGGTCAAGGTGAGTCAACGCCCTGGGTCAAGGTGAGTCAACGCCCTGGGTCAAGGTGAGTCAACGCCCTGGGTCAAGGTGAGTCAACGCCCTGGGTCAAGGTGAGTCAACGCCCTGGGTCAAGGTGAGTCAACGCGGGTCAACGGGTGCGATACAAGCTTAGTGTACATGAGTCAAGGTGAGTGACGTCACGTTATACGAGGCGAGGCGAGAGTGCGAAACATAAGGTAAGGGAGGGAGACCGTAAGGTAAGGAAGACTTGTGTGGGGTGGAACGCAAGCAATCAGGCAAACAATGTGCCGTGCTTTCATTTGTGAGCTGGAAACGCAACGCAACTGAGCAATGCAGTAGCTGTTGTCCAGCTGCCGTTTCGCCGTGCTAAACAGAATGAGTGAACTACCTCGAATCGTCAAGGAAGACCCTCCAGCAGTGTCAGTCACTCTCACCCATGCTACTCTCCTGCACTACCCTCTCTGTTCCCCTGCTTGCCCTGCCCTCTCCGCGAGTAATCACCAGGTATACTACGAGACGAACTACCTGGATCTGCCAGGGAAGATTCTCCAGCAGTGGAGCTACCTGTGGGCCGACAACTACACCACGGCGACCTACATTGCCATCATCGACGATGATGTTGTCTTCAACCTCAAGGTACGTGTGCGCATGCAGGCGAGGGGGGTGGGGCATGTATGTGCGTGGATGGAGTAGTGCAGCCGTGCAGCAGTGGAGCTACCTGTGGGCCGACAACTACACCACAGCCCCTTACATTGTCATTATCGACGATGACGTGGTTTTCAACCTCAAGGTACGTGTGCGCATTCCAGTGTGTGCATGTCGGCGTGCATGCATGCATACAGCCGTGCAGCAGTGGAGCTACCTACCTGTGGGTGTACAGCTACAAAATGCCCCCCTATCCCCCTTCCCACTCCGCCCTTTTCTCCTCGTCCCCCCAATCCCCCCCACATTAGGTGACGCCAGGTCTCCTGTTCAACCTAACCGAGGGCAAGCCGATTGTAATTGGATCGCGCAACGCGCAGCACAACAACTGGCTGCCGTCCACGCCTTCCCCCTCTCTCCTTTCCCCTTCCCCCCTTCCGCCTCTCCCCTGTCTTCCATCTCCCCAGGTGACCCCGGGTCTCCTGTTCAACCTAACCGAGGGCAAGCCGATAGTGATCGGGTCGCGCAACGCGCAGCGCAACAACTGGCTGCCGTCCACGCGCTGGCTCGTGGGGCAGCACGCCTACTTCGCCAACTTCATGGTGCAGCTGCCCTTTGTCTTTCCAAGGGCCGTGCTGCGGAAATTTAGGGAGCACGTGGGGGAGTTGCATCGGGACAAGTTCGGGAAGAGCTTCGACAAGGCATTTAAATATTTTGCGGAGCGCGGGCCAAAGTTTGAACGGTGAGTGAGGTGTGGGGTGCGGTGCTGCAGGGTGGTGTGCGGTGCAGCAGGGTGGTGTGCGGTGCAGCTCGGTGATCGTACACTCGTCTTTTGACGGGCCGTGCTGCCGCGGCTCAGGGAGCACGTGGGGGAGTTGCATCGGGACAAGTTTGACAAGCCCTTCAAGTACTTTGCAGAGCGGGGGCCGAAGTTCGAACGGTGAGTGGTGATGTTGGGTGCCGTGCGGTGCTACTGGGTGGCGTGTGGTGCTGCTCGGTTAAGTGTGGTGCTTCTGGGCAATTTCTGGTGCTGCTGGGTGGTTTGTGGTGCCACTGTGATGTGCTTGCATCATTTTGAGCCAACTACAAGCTGATGTCACCCAGGCTTCCAGCACTCCACCCTCCGTTTCATATCTCTCTGCCTCCATCTCAACCCCTCTGTCTCCCTCTCACACCCCTCTGTCCCCCTCTCACACCCCTCTGTCTGCCACTCACACACCCCTCTGTCTGCCTCTCACACCCCTTTGTCTGCCACTCACACCCCTCTGTCTGCCTCTCACACCCCTCCATGTCCCTCTCACACCCCCCTGCCCCCATTTCAACCCCTCTGTCTCCCTCTCACAACCCTCAGTCTCCCACTCACACCCTTCTCTCCCTCTGCAGGACGCAGATCGCCCACACGACTCTGGGCAACTACATGTGGGCCTTCACTCAGGACGAGGTAAGCAAAGAGAGAGGCATGTGGGATTCGTGGTTATGAAGAGAGACGAGAGTTACTAAGCCCACAAAAAGCTGCAAGCCCACACGACTCTGGGCAACTACATGTGGGCCTTCACTCAGGACGAGGTAAGCAGGCAGCGATGAGGTGAAGTGAGCTGAGAGGCTGTGGCATTCGTGAGCAGGAAGAGGGTCTAGAGAGCTTAAGTGGTGACAGAGTAAGGGCTTGCAGCTTTATGTGGGTCATTCTCACACCCCTCCTCTCCCCCACCCCTTCTCTCCTCACCATCAGGTGCACTGGGCACTAGAGTGGACCAGCCACACGCCCATCCTGTGCATGTGCACGTACCCTACGCTGCTTCTCCTCCTTCCCTCTCGTCTCCCCACTTGCAGGTGCACTGGGCGTTAGAATGGACCGACCATGCACCCATCCTCCTGTGCATGTGCACATACCCTCCACTGCTTCTCATGCTTCCTCCTTCTTCCCTCTCCTCTCCCCGACCACATACCCATCCCCCGAGTGGGAATGCACATACCCTACTCTGCTTCTCATGCATCCTCCCCTCCCCCCCTTCCCACCTCTCCTCTCCTCACCACCAGGTGCACTGGGCACTAGAATGGACCGACCACACACCCATCCCCCGAGTGGGAGTGCACATACCCTACTCCCGGCCGTTCAGAGAGGCCACCAACCACACCGACAACATCCCGCGAGACGGTGTGCACTTACCCTACTCTCTTCCCACCCCTCACCCACAGGTGCACTGGGCACTAGAGTGGACCAACCACGTACCCATCCCCCGAGTGGGAGTGCACATACCCTACTCCTGGCCATTCAGAGAGGCCACCAACCACACCGACAACATGCCGCGGGTAATCAAAGCTTACATAAGTGTTTCCGGGTACTTTGCACACGAAGCTATCTGTCATGCCTTCCCCCCTGGGGAGCTGGATGGGTGCGACGATGTGAATTACACCCCGCAGCAGCAGATTTGGCAGTATGCGTTGAATTGGTTTGACTGGCCGGCGATCAAGAACAAGTGGGAGAATGGGACTTATTTATATGAGGTGTATCAGAAGGAGATGCATTGCTTGTATTGGGAGGGTGTGACTGCAGCGGGGGAGAGTGGGGAGGAAGGGGAAGGGAATAGGAGAGATGATTTGGTGCGGCAGATGAGGGATAAGTGCATTGTTACAAACTCAAACTGTTGTTTCAATTAGCAACAGCTGAGGTTCACTTGTTTTCATGAAATTCATACCGGTAAGTTGTGTTTTCCAGCTCTTGGTGATACTCCTTCGCAATTTTGTCACTGTGAAAGAAGCAGAGACATACACCCATTTCATTCCAGAAAGAAGCTTTGCAAAAACGACTCTCCTAAGATGCTGCAGCCTCACACCCATGTCCAAGAGGGAGAGTTCTCCTCATGCTCTATCTACCAGCAAAGCAAAGCTTCACATCAAGCACTAATCACCCAGACACTCAATCATCTCAGTCATGACACGCCGTTCGTTGTCGTCGCCACTCCCAATCCCCAGCTCTCCCCTCCTTCATGAGGCAGGGAACATGCAGCGACCGCACCACACTCATTCATCGCATGGGATCAAGCCCATCGTCGCCCATCTCACTCTCCTGCTCTCCCCTCCTCCACGCGGCAGCGAAGGCACAATCAGGCGCGGCAATCCCCGAGGTGAGATAGTCCTGCACGCGCCCATCCAGCAGCCCGTCGCCCCCCTCACTGCTCTCCACATCTACCGGCTCCCGCAGCAGGCGAGTGAGCAGCCGGTGCCGCAGCGACCGCACGGCGCGGGATGCCTCGCCGCGAAAGGTCTGTCCCAACACCCCGTGAATGCCCTCCGTGTGCTGGTGAGGAAAAGGGGGAGAGAGAGAGATAGACCAGGGGACTTCAGGGGACGGAGGGCGAATGCAGGAGCACGGCAAACGTACATGAGCTGCATGGGCTGCATGACAGGCACCTATGCTTCTACGATAGTAGACTCAGCGCTTACATTAAGCTGCTCAATATGCACGTTGAAGTGAGCCTGAGCCTCAGTCGCGGTCTGCATGAGCGGATGGCCACCCGCGCCGTCACACTCAGATCCACCACGCCCTCTATTTTCAGGTGGAACTCGTCTTCTAACCTCCCGGGCTGGCTCCTGGTCTCTGCCAGCAGCAGCAAGCCTCCGTCCATGGAGTGTTGTAGAGGACTCTCCTCTACTTTGCAGGAACTGGGAATTGTTCTAAGCAGTAGAGCACTCTGCTAGCTTTCCAACGAGCCGTAGATCACCTCGTTCGCCTAAGTATCGAGCGAGATATCGCCGTTTATGTGCTAGGTAGTGCTCTTAGATTGAAGGATAGGAGCTCTCTGGAATTTGTGTTCGAATGTACCTTGTACAAAGAACTCTGAGTTTCACTATGATGGCATGCAATACAAAGAAAAGAGATTTATAGCATGCAAACAAGATCGAATCGCACAAGTAACCTCGAACCGCTACACTCGCGAATGTTCGAGTAACATCGAAAGGGTGAAATTCGACTCTCGAATTTCACCGATCCGAATTCTCCTTGGGTCTCGAATGTTCCTGGTGCTGCCATGTGGCACCGAATCGAATGGGTCTTCCGAAGTCAATCCTCAACCCCACGCAAACCTGCAACTCACTCGAAGGTGAGCACAAGTCACACATTCGGTGGGTTGGGGGCATACAAACGCCCCACCACCACCTTGCTTCCAACACACGTAATCTCCAACATGGAGATGGAGCTCCCAGGGTGGAAAGGAGGGATCACATCCTGATCGTCGATCACCATCCGTTGGGTGAAACCCGTAGCGCCTCGGCCCTGCTCCTTGCCGTCCCGCGCCTTGAGGAACGCCGAGTGCTGCGCTCCTGTGTCGTCGCGCCACATCACTTGAAGCTCCCTGGTGGTGGTGCGCAGAATGGGTTCAATGGAGAGACGGCGAAGCAGAGAGGGAATAATGAGAGGATAAAGAGACTGGTCACAAGAAAATGGTCCATGAAATTGCTTCACTGAAACTGACATTATGGTATCACCGTGATACAGTGACTACACTCACCCCATTTCATGACACGCCACCATATAGGACTCACTTGGAGTGATGATCACGACGGATGCTATCACGACATTCGCGAATGATGCAAAACACACCTGATCCAGCTGCGGATCGGCTTCCCTTTGAGCAGCCGCGCTTCCAGCTCGTGTCGCACGTACTGGATCGAATTCTGCTCTTCCGAAGCGCGACTCGCTGCAGACTCATCCCGAGCCGCTCCAAGCGGGCCCCCATCATTTCCGCCCTCGCTGCTTTCGTGAAGCTTCCCCGCTCAAGCGCCGCCGTCACCTTCGCGGACTCAGGCAAGCTCCCATTGGCGCGCATCTGGAGCAGCTCCGCCACTTCCTCCGCATTTAACGCTTCCTCCTGGAGCTCCTGAATATGACGTGGCTTGAACTCATTCGCTGCCGCTTCCACCGCCGCGGCGAGCGTGTTTTCATCCAGTGACGTGGCAGTGCCTCGGAGGTTGGCGATCGGACGGTAGCCCTTGATCCCCATATTGATGAGGATCCGACGGTCGGAAAGCAGACAAAAGGAGCGGTCGAGCAGGCCGTTGAAGTCGAAGCGCGTGCCGTCCGCGCCGCGGAAATGTGGGTCGCCTTTGGTGTTGGCGAGGGGGTTGCACTGGCCGCCAACGTACGACGCTTGCACGCTCGTGTTCCCGTTAATCGTGTTGAGTCCCGATAGTGATCCCAGCAGGGTGCATACGCCCGGCATTCTGCGAGATACATAGTAGAGCGCGACGAAAGCGGTGCGTCGATTAATAGCATCAGGAAGAAGAAGAAGAAAAGGTAAAGAATATGTTTAATATTGAAATAGAGCATTCATGATGTATGACAATACCGCAGCGCGGCATGTATCATCTTGCTTACCTGGTCACATGCCAGTATTTGCAGCCATCCATCACAAAAAACCCGGTTCAGCTTCGAGGTTTCCGAGGGTCATTTCACAGTGGCATTCGATATTTTTGGCTGTCTCGGATTTCCAACAGATTTCTGACGGAAATCCGTTGGTTTCCGCACGGAAATCCATGAGGCAGGGTGTGATTGACCTAAATGTTCGGCTGCACCCGAGTCGCGTCAAGAATGAACAGTAATTCTTGATTTCTAGCAGATTTCCGATAGGAATGCAGATGTGGGCGGCGAGGTAAGGAGTAGTGCAAAAGTGTAAGGATTTACAGAATCCTTACTGAAGCACTCGTTAGCGAGGCCATGCCGAGGGTCACGCGACGAACCTGTCCTTCCTATTTCGTCGCACCGAACCACTCCCGAGTCGCCTCCGCTCCAATCGCAACCATCACCGAGCCATCCTCGCCCAACCTCTCCGCCTAGCTAGGACTTCCCCTATTTAGTCGTGCCTTTCTCATTGTATCGTGATTCGGTAATCAGTTCATTCTCGTTATTCGATTTGCTGCGCACTCTGCAAGTTCATTCATAACACCTGGTATCAGAGCTACTTTCCTAGCCTACCCCGCTTTTTAGAGTGTAGTACCCCTCGGGGGGGGGACGAGGAAGGATGTCTTGGGGTCCAGGAGTTGCGTAGGCCGGCCAGGAGAACGAGTTAGTTGCTCCTCGCGGCCATGGTTTTACGGGTACTCCTTCGGCACCGCCAGATCCTTGCCTCGAACGGTCGCGATCGACCGTGGCCTCCCTCCCCCCGGGCAACGGGCAGCAGTAGCTGTCGCGACGTTTATGTGAGTAATTTCCGCTGCGATTTCCGACGATTTCGGAGGTTTATTCGTGTGGCAGCTGGCGTCAGCGGACCTGCGTCGGCATCTGCATGAACAGCCTCGACGTCGTCACTGTGTGTGGCTGTTGACGCCGACGGACCTGAGTCAACAGTTACGCGAAGATTTCGGAAAGATCTTCGGCAACTGGCGACAAAGGGCCTGCGTCAGCAAGGGCGACATTTTCGGAGCTTCTGTTGAAGAAAAAGTCGGCTGGGGAACTCGCCAGGCGCAAATGGAGTTTGCGTCCGAAAATATCGGTGGACGAGAAGAGACGACATGCGAATTGCCCGAATAATGCGGGGTCAACTGTCGTCCCGCCCGACCTGAAGTGCAGCGGCTTTTACTGCATGGCGGGCGCGTCATCGAAGGTTTCGGCAGTAGCGCACGTGGACAGACGGGAACTTCAGACCCGCCGACACTTACGGGTTGCAACAAAAAACGGAGTGGCTAAATCGCACTCAGGAGGAGTGGGACGCAGGCGGTGAGGGCATTTCGGGCCCATACACCCCGAAGAACACTCGGATGACGCTGCGTGCCTGGTACTGTTGACTGCTGGCCGGCCATTTCGAGGGTGGATTCCCTGTAAGGAAGTCATTTTCGGGGACAGCCTCAACAGCCCACGCCGACAATTACGGAGGAGAGTGGTACAGGCCGCCGGGACACACGAGAAGAAACTACCCGACGGCTAAGCGGGGGTTGAAGAACGGCGTGAAGGGCAGGTTAAAAGCCGGTGTGAACGATCTGTGACCTTCCGTCGCCCGAACCTCACCATCCCCACCAAGTTTTAGTTCTGACTCATGCAGTCAACTTACTTGGCCGAATAACGGGGGTGAACACGGGCCTACCCTGCGCTGGTTAAAGGCACCTGGGTTGGTGCCCGTTCAACAGCTGTACAGAAAAAACAAAACAAAGGTGGAGTTGCGGCACTGTTCTACTCCGACAAAAGCGGACTGGGTGAAACAGCACGCGAAAAAATCGGGGCGCCGCATGACAACAATGGTGCAGTTCGCTGGTTTCTCCTGACCCGGGCGTCTACACGAGGTGACGGCGCAGCGGCGGAGCTGGAACCGGGAGCTGTGGAGTTTTAGTGGCGCGACGGCACGGTGGGCTGCAAAGCGGTTGGGAATGATTTCCTTTTAACTAAGGTAAACCCGACTCCGATAGACTTTTCTTCTCCACCGTGGCTGGGTTCGCGCGGGCAGCACCGACTATACCTCATCCGAAAAATGCGTACGCTGGGTGAACGGCGGGAAGCGGAATTGTCGGGGGGTGAAACGACCAAAAAATTATGAAGCTGCGGGTATTTCTTCGCTTCTTGGAGTGCGGTTGAGTCGTTCGGGGACTTCGCCTGAAGGGCACTTTTCGAAGTTGCCTGGCAAGAAACACAACGGCAAGGATATCTAGGACCCCCGGTGTTTAAACGCACACCTCGGGAAATTCTTCAGAAAAAGGGGAGCGTGGGAGCAGTCGTAGCTTTGGGATCTATCGACCGGCGACGAGCGATGTGGTGAAACATCTGCAAAGCGCTGGTGGGAGAAACAAGAATTTTTGCCTCTAGGTTCCGTGAAATTCGGTCTCGGAATAGCCCAGGGCAGTCCCCGGTTCTCGATTGAACCCACATGCTGGGGTCGGGTAACCGACGGAAACTGATGGTGACCGGGTGGGCGGCTATAGCACGTCCGAGATTTTCGGAGGCGAACTGCAACTGCAACTGCGGCATTACGGGGTTTGATTCGAGCAACATTTTCGGAGTGTTTACGTGGGGACTTCCCGGTTTTACGGCAAGGTGCGCCGACAATTTCGGAGGAATTGCGGCGTTTGGTTAAACGCGCGCGTCAAACGGAGGGGGGCAGCACCGCGAGATTTACACGGACTTTTTCAGGGGTACGAAGGACTTACAACGAACTGAAGAAGGCGGCAGCAACAGTGATGGGGGGGAGCGACAGCTGTGAAATTTCATCCCTGCCCAAGAATCATCGACGCATTACGACAAAACTCTCGGAGAAACCATTTCCAACTCTGCTACCGACAACTCGCCTTCGACCCGCCGACGACAACTGCATTAGTTCTCAACCACGTCAGGAGCTGCCAGCTGCAACTGCTGAAGATATCGGCTGATTCTGGCGACGTAAAGACAAAACGGCTGCGAAACTTTTCTGTGGAGCATTTCTTGAAGGGGGGGGGGGGGGAGAAAGTGCTTTGCACTATTTCTTTCCTCGGCGTTTTCTCGGCTCAATTTCTGACTTTGTCAGAATGCAGCAGCACGACGGACGACTGCGATCGCTGCTTCACGATCAACGGTTTCTGCAACATCGCGATTGAATTTCGCGTCAGCAGGTTCCCTCCAATCTCGCGTCAGTCTTCTGTCAGAATGTTATGCTCTAGCCTGTAGTGGGGTGCTCTATAGCGAGTACAACCCTTCTAGGGTTTGCTATTTGTATCCTCATTCCTGCTAGTGAACCCCCTCTTTGCCTAAACTGTTTCTTGCCTAGCTAGGGCTTTCCTAGCTATGGCGCCTTCTTCTACTGCTTATCTTCACATCTTCGACCGTCAGATCCACATCTGCTTCATCGACGGCCCACATTCCAACTTCAACTTCATTTTGGGCTTGTTCATCGTCGACCGTCAGATCGAAATCTGACTACATCAACGGCCTACCTTCCAACCTTTTCAAAAATATTATCGAAGGCATTTCGGCCGTCGGATTCAGCTGAAGCGGAGATCTACGGCATCCTTGCTAGTGTGGGGTCCGTTTTCAGTACAGGACTGCCTTATTTAGAAGGTGGGAGAGTGTAAGGATTTACAGAATCCTTACTGAGGCACTCGTTAGCGAGGCCATCCCGAGGGTCACGCGGCGAACCTGTCCTTCCTATTTCGTCGCACCGAACCACTCCCGAGTCGCCTCCGCTCCAATCGCAACCATCACCGAGCCATCCTCGCCCAACCTCTCCGCCTAGCTAGGACTTCCCCTATTTAGTCGTGCCTTTCTCATTGTATCGTGATTCGGTAATCAGTTCATTCTCGTTATTCGATATTCTGCGCACTCTGCAAGTTCATTCATAAAAAAAAGTGATATATTTGAGATGCATACTTTCAGAATAAACTCGAGACTTTCTGTAAGAATTTTTCTCGACATTCCTTACATAGCCCGACTGTAAGGATTTACAAATCCTTACTGAGGCACTCGTTAGCGAACCCGTCTTGCCTATTTCGTCGCACCGAACCACCCCCCGAGTCGGCCTCCGCTCCAATCGCAACCATCACCGAGCCATCCCATCCCGAACCCCCCGCCTAGCTAGCTTGTCCCCTATTTAGGCCTCCCTACTTCATTGTTTCTTCATTCAGTAATTCAGTAATTCAGTAATTCAGTAATTCATTAATTCAGTAATTCAGTAATTTCCATTCTCGTTATTCGTTTTACTGCGCACTCTGCAAGTTGATTCATAACACCTGGCATCAGAGCTACTTTCTTAGCTCACCCCGCTTTTTAGAGTGTAATACCCCTCGGGGGGGGGAGGACGAGGAAGGATGTCTTGGGGTCCAGGAGTTGCGTAGGCCGGCCAGGAGAACGAGTTAGTTGCTCCTCGCGGCCATAGTTTTACGGGTACTCCTTCGGCACCGCCAGATCCTTGCCTCGAACGGTCGCGATCGACTGTGGCCTCCCTCCCCCCGGGCAACGGACAGCTGTAGCTGTCGCGACATTAAACGTGAGTTTCTATTCCGCAGCGGTTTTAACGACGATTTCGGAGTTTTGTGAGGCAGCTGGCGTCAGCGGACCTGCGTCGGCACCTGCAAGAAATTTGCGGAAGTCGTCAGCGTGTGTGGCAGTTGACGCCGTCGGACCTGGGTCAACAGTTGCGCGACAACTTCGGAGTCGTCCCATGCGGCAAGTGACAACGGTGGCTCGTCGTCATTTTGCGCGCGTGACTCACGGAGTGTGGCTCGGCAGCTGGCGACAAGGGAGGTGCGTCACTGTGGCGATAATTTC